AGAAAGTATCAGAATGTGTGACCTTTTGAGAGGAAATAATTGGGAAATTCTTATTGATAGTGAATTTGTACCCACAGAAAGTACCAGGATGTGTGACCTTTTGAGAGGAAATAATTGGGAAATTCTTATTGATAGTGAATTTGTACCCACAGAAAGTACCAGGATGTGTGACCTTTTGAGAGGAAATAATTTGGAAATTCTTATTGATAGTGAATTTGTACCCACAGAAAGTACCAGGATGTGTGACCTTTTGAGAGGAAATAATTTGGAAATTCTTATTGATAGTGGATTTGTGACCCAGAAAGTACCAGGATGTGTGACCTTTTGAGAGGAAATAATTTGGAAATTCTTATTGATAGTGAATTTGTACCCCCAGAAAGTACCAGGATGTGTGACCTTTTGAGAGGAAATAATTGGGAAATTCTTATTGATAGTGAATTTGTACCCCCAGAAAGTACCAGGATGTGTGACCTTTTGAGAGGAAATAATTTGGAAATTCTTATTGATAGTGAATTTGTACCCCCAGAAAGTACCAGGGTGTGTGACCTTTTGAGAGGAAATAATTTGGAAATTCTTATTGATAGTGAATTTGTACCCCCAGAAAGTATCAGGATGTGTGACCTTTTGAGAGGAAATAATTTGGAAATTCTTATTGATAGTGAATTTGTACCCCCAGAAAGTACCAGGATGTGTGACCTTTTGGGAGGAAATAATTGAGAAATTGTCAATGATAGTGAATTTGTACCCACAGAAAAAAATAAGGTCATGGTAAAACCTATTTTGAAATAAAATTATGTTAAGCTACATGTTTGTGAGAAATATGGTTGCGTACGTCTATAATAATTTATTGATAAATACCATTCACTTCTCCAGAGAGTGGAAGCAGCTCATATCAAAGCTCAGAAGTACAATACTTCATTAGGGTGTGGTGCGCCTTAGGTGAAATATACGAGAAAGATTCGGATGTATTTTTATACCTTTTTGAAAGCAAAATAATGCCCAGTAAAACATTTTTAGAACAGGAAACAGGGTGTAGTCAAGAGCATATTGGCAAACTAGCAATGTTATTCTGACGGAAATAAAACCCTTTGTGGAAAGGTGAAGCATTGACTTGTTAAATTGTTATTATCAAAATGAAAAAAAAAAAACCAATAAATTTTGAATGTTATAATAACTGTATGTGACCACATTGAACAATACATCTTGTGTGTGTGTCGTGTGAAATCACATATCGAATACGACCAAAGAGCAACATCTTGTCGCGACTTTTCGAAATCCTTTAATAAATAAGGGAAGAGTTTTCTGTTTTACTTCAGATGTAACCTTGACGATATAACGCTTACTAGAAAACAGTTAAATGATATTTACGTCATTGTATACACACTGTTTTTTCAGATGTTTAACTTATTCGCCACCAGTTTCCTTTTTTCATCACAAAATAGTCCCGTTTATAGTCTGCACTTTCCTTCAGAAGATTGGGACAAAAATAGCCAAATTTTTTGAGTAAAAAATAAAAATTGACTCAAATTTTGGCTGTTGGCTCCAAAATTAGGATTCATTTCCAGAAATATTGAGAAATATAAAGAAAAAAGTGCAGACAAATTTGAACGAGAAAGTCAAGTGGTGTAAATGTTGAATGGGGCATCATATATTGAACAAACTAAATCGTAATGTGTGATCCCACAACTTGCGGGTATGTATGACCAAATTAAGAAGAGATATCAAGGGAATGAAGTTTTAAATAAATCTAGGTTGAAGCTCGCCACAGCCTTAGTTTCTATGTGAAGACTAACAGACTTAGTTGTCCCATGATACTAACTAACCCAACCAATTACAAAGTTAATTCATACGCTATATAGGTCACATGTTCTGTACATCTGTATATGTAGTAATGTAGTCCGGGAAAGGAGTTGCACTGAATTCATGCTTTCATCACTGCCGCACAAGTAGCAAATGTACTTTTCGAAATAACAGATGCACGTACGTCTGTGGGCAGCATGTGTCGTATTTGAATAAATGAAATTGTTGGGTCACATCTACTTTATGCACTTTTCATAGACAATGTAAAAAATGTAAATATAAGCAAAATGCATTTTCTAATTTTGATGTATGCTTATTTAAAGTAAATCATTATTTATGACGTTGTCATATGTCTTGTTTATCTAGGAAGCATTGAATCGAAAAGACATTTACTATTCATGAAATTCAATTACTTTCCAGAGATGTATCTAATACATGTTTTATGTGTAATCTAAGTTTTTTGACCAGTCTGGTCCTGTTCAGTTCAGCTCTCTTCCTTTTGAGGGAAATAGACCCTTTGCATTCAGTAAAACGTTGCCAAGGAAACAGCAGTCATATTGATACTTTATCAGAAGTTTATTACTGTAAAATGATTAATTTTCACTGGATTTAAATTTTGCTGATTTAGCATTTTAGGCATATTTATTGTGTATAAAATTGACGGTTTTATTATTTAGATAATGTGTTCTTTGCTAAATTTTACATATTCACTGGGTTTTAATTTGGCTCATTTTCCAGTCAGCGAAATAAGCGAAATTAAAACCTAGTGAATAATTAACCCTTTTACAGTATACATACCTTAAGCCTTTTAATTTTTGCTGCTAGCAATTTTTGCAATTTGACGATTTTATGATATGGTGAATTATAATTTAAATTAAATTTTCACTACTACAAAATATTATAATTCATACTGACTTTTGTTCCTTGTAAAATTAACTAATTCACAAGCAGTTCCCTCTTTTCATCACAAATTCACAAAATAGTCCTGTTCATAGTCTGCACTTTTCATCCAACGGTTGGGATAAAAATAGCAAACAACATTTTTTGAGTAGAAACTAAAAATTGACACAAATTTTGTCTGTTGGCTCCAAAATTTGGGTTCATTTCCAGAAATATTGAAGAATTTAAGGAAAAAGTGTAAAAAAATTTGGGCTAAAAAATCTGGTGTGAAATAGTTAAGATGTGACAAAGCAATCACGTTCACTATCAGGACATGATTAAATTAATGTATACATGTGAATATCAAACGATGAAAAGATGATAAATCAAATTCAAAGTAAATTCGGTTGAGGAAGTCTGATGGTGAAAAGGTTAAAGTGGTTTATAGTATATGTATAAAATATGTAAGTGCTGAAGAGGTCATTTGATGTTAAATGTGCATTTATTCAATTTTTAGTTCCTCCAAGACTACTTGATGTACCGGAATCTCAAGCAAAACTTGTCGGAGTAACAGCCAGATTTCCCTGCGTTGCTGAGGGTGTGCCACCACCAAGTATCACATGGTACCACAATGCCCAACCAGTTGTTATGAATGGGCGTTTCCAAAACCCCAGTAACAATGACGATCTTGTCATCACTAATATTTGGAAAAATCCGCACGAATCAGACGAAGGTATATATCAATGCGTAGCAGAGAATGTACGTGGACGAGTGCAGGCGTCTGCACAGTTGACGATAATAAAAGGTGAGCTTTTTCCAGCCTAGTAACCCTAGCTTGAATGATTGGTCGAGTCAATGGTTATCTGGATAACTGAGGTGATTTGATTGG